AATTTAATTTTAAATGAAGCTTCTTAAACATTTTGAAAACCTTGTTTACTTTACATACAACAATAGTTTAGTTATATAATATAGACTTATAGAGAGAGACCTTCTAAAAAACGTTAAAATGTATTACCGGCACGTGAAACCTTAAATTAAAGTGAATAAATGAAGACTCGGCACACCACTTCTGAAAGGTTGCCTACCCCTGGTGTAGTATTGCATAGTTACATGAATTAGATGAAGGAGTAAAGCATGTTGTTGTAGCAGTGTTGGTCCCAGGATATTAGAGAAACAAGGTGGGTGAGGTAATGTCTTTTATTGGACCAACTTCTGTTGGTGAGACAAGCTTTTGAGTTACACAGAGCTCTTCCTCAGTTCTGGGAAAGGTACTCAGTGTCATAGCTAAATACAAGGTTGAACTGCATAAGTAAACTATCTGTTCAACCTTGTATTTACTGTGACAGTCAGAGTACCTTTCCCAGGCAAAGAGCTCTGTTTAGCTCAAATGTTTGTCTCTCTCATCAACAAAACTTGGTCCAATATAAGATATTACTTCACTCATCTTGTCTCTGTAATGAAGGAGTAATGGTTAAAGTAGATCAAAATAGGAGGGGGAGTCACCAATTGTAGTGATGTTGTCACATAGTGACATGACATTGCATCAACCTGTGTGATGGAACATGGCCGGGGAAGAGCATGGGAACATTGGTCTTTGAAAAATATCCATGTCTCCAAGTAAGCTCATAGCTGTCCAATCATGAGCGTGTGCAAGTAAACGTGAATACACAGTATGGGAACGCTGTAGGAGCACATCCCTTGTGCTCCCAACCACCCCCTCCTCTCACACATCCCACACGGAATGCCAGAACAGGAGAGGAACCTGATGGGGTAATTCAGTTTTTCCTCTGGATGGGAGGGGTAACCAGCAGTGGGACAGATCTTCCAAGAAAGCAGATGGGAGATTGTCCAAATTATAATCATTTCTCTCCCATCAGGTGCCACTGCTGCTCCACATATACTGATAAGGCTTGGAGTCCTATATAAGGTGCTCAGCCAAGCCACAGCTTCTCCTTCCCCACTCCTGATTCTTCTACCATATGAATCTTTATTTCACCAATGAAGAAGCAAGAGCAGGAGCCATAGAAGTTCTGACACAGCACCTCTAGCTTGTTCATCTGATATCCGGGGACAAGCTGTGTTGTGTTATGGCACTGGCTCAGCTCCTTTAACTGGCTTGGCTGATGTCAATGCACAGGGCTTTGTGAGGTTAGTGACATGCCCTTCTAGCTTTTCTTTGCTGATGGTAACTCTGAAGTTACCAACTTAAAACTTCTAGATTTCTGGTCTGTTGTTAAAGGGAATGATGTTGTATGGTCACTCAGTGCCTCTTTTTGTCTGGACTGATGTCAAGGCATCTTTGAACTCATGGGTTCAGCAGCTTTAGCATGCTGTTCTGAGCTGTCCCTGAGCTCATTGGCTCACCCCCTCTAGCTTGCTGAGTTGATGTGAAAGTACAGGCCTTCATGAGGGTTACTAGCTCAGGGAAATTTACACCTTCTTCTGAAACATCTAATATTGGCCCCTGGTGGATTAGATAGATTTACAATATTTTCCAGTACCACAGGGGTCAGACTGTTGATTCTGAGCTACATGGACTATCCTGGTCTGTGACAGAGTTGGCAGTGGAAGATTAAAGGACACGATGAATCTTAAAAGTTCAAGATGGGGGACATCTGTTAAGTTATGAGAGTCTATACAAGATTGTTCCCCACAGTCTTGTTTCCAGGGCTCTATATAGTCCACTTTTAAATGTTCCACGCAATGAGACTTCCACCAGTTCCTTCAGGCAAGAATTCCTGAGCTAAGTACAGCTCTATCAGGGAACTTTTCCTCATATTCAGCCTAAATGTACCTACTTGAAGAATTCTAAATACATTTTCTTTCCTTCAGATATTTGTAGACTTGTTACTCTGTGGTTGTTGTTTAGCTCTTGAGAAATCAATCCCCTAATCATTTTTATTGCTCTTCTCAGTCCCTCAACTTTGTCAATATTTTTCTGGTACTATGGTGCCAAGAACTCAAACCACTATTACAGGCAGACCTCACCAGAGCCATGTACAGTCTCACATCACCTCCATGCTCTGTGATATGATGTGTTTGCATATACTATCCAAATTTGCAATGGCCATTTTAAAGCCATATCACATTTCTTTGCAAATGTCTAATGTGCTAATTGCTGTAAACCATATCCCTTTACTGTTGCCTCTGGTTTTCTCCCCAATTGAGTGTGTTTGTTATAATTTTTTCCACCAGCTATATTATCTTGTAATGTACTATTCTAAATGGACTATTAAACTGATTGGATAGGGAAGACATATAAGATACTTGATTGGTTAGACAACTGGTGTGATCTGAGCGTGCTACCAGATTGGGTGGATCATTGTTTTGCTATTCTGTGGTGTACCATTATGGTCAATGTCCCAGCAGCCAGTGTGGGTACCTTGTACCATTGTAATTAGGCAACTGACCAATTGGATATTCACAAATGCAGGTTTCATGTGATACATGAAAATCAGTGTAAAAAATTGAACATTTTCAATAGAATGTCACACTTAAGTCATTATAACCTTGTAGACTATGTATATTTCTACACAAGCCCTATAAAAACCTTATTGTGCCAACAGCACTATCCACCATCCTTTCTAAAAGTGGGAAAATTATTTTGCGTACATAGTGTCCATGAAAATGGCACAGATGAAAGAAGTCAAATTTGCATATTATCCCTACAACATACACTCCCCACCTCCCACAGAAAATTAGGTCCAGAAATGACATGAAATGAGGACTTCAGGGATGCAGAGCTCTGCTCCCCACTGTATGTATTTTTACCCAGAATCTTTTCTAATATGGACTAAGATCACTGGATCCTTCGTAGAAAAAAAAATCACCTGGTAAAAGTATACTTGAGTTACAATGTCTGGATCATGTGATCAGCCCCAGGGACATTAGTCAATGGAAGAAAACAGATCATCACAGAGCCCCCTTACCATCACATTCCTGCAGGACAGAAGGGTGCAGCTACCTTCACCGGCACCCTTATGGTGGTGGCGGTGGAGAAACAACCTGTCCAGAAACTGCACCCCTGGAGGGATGGTGTGCTCAGTAATTTATGCCACAGCAAGAAAGGAAAAATCAGTCCATGGTGCTTGTGAGGGATTAGGAAAAAGTCATAAAGAACCAATCTTGCATTTAGGGTGAAAAAATGCACTAAGCAAACAAATATTGAACACTCTGCCTGTGTTGAGCCGCTCCCATTCTCTCCCATTATGATGAAATATTTGTAGGAGCAAGACCCCACTGAGCTCCCAACCTCTCCCTTTTCTGTGTTGGCAGTTCCCAACACCCTCTTCCAGTCTTTATTCTCATTGATTTGGTTTTGTTTCCCAGAAGCTGAACTCTACAGGAAAATTCGCATTCAGATGAGAGCCAAGGATTTGTTGGAAAACTCCTCAGCTCCTATTGATCCTAGCAACAGACAAAGAGAGCCACAGTCCCGAATCGCCACCAAAACCAAACAAGAAAAACTCAGCTTCCTGCAAGACGACTTCAGCTTTAAACCAAGAATTAACCCAGCGGTGCCTGATTTTGAAAGACTTTACTGGGCGTTTCAGAGAGAAGCAATAAGGATACGAGAAGTCAAAGAGCCAACTCGTAATCAACCATTTAAACTGAGAACCTCCAATCTCCACTACAGGCAGAGACAGGCTAATGAGCAGAAAATGAAGGTGAGAGGATGATGTGTTTCTGCAGCATTACACCCTTCACACCGCTCCAGGTGTCAGATTGCTGGGATCTCTGTCTTTTGATTTATAATCCTATATATTTTTACTGAAGCTAACCTACCTGGCAGGGAGACCTCTCTGCTCTTGTCTGAAACGGCCCCTCCTTAGATCCCGGGTCAGCCAGAGGCAGTATAATTTGCTTTGTGTGTTTTCAACAACCTTATTTCCTTATCTATATTGAACAATCTGTGCCATTGATTAGAAACTCACTTCTTTGTAAACATTATGCATTCTTAGGATTCAAGAAGAAAGGGAAAATTCATGCAGAATATCTGCACAAGCTTGTGGACAATGACATGCATTAGGCTGTGGAATAGTCTTCCAAGGAAAGTTGTAAAAGATGGTCTTTAAAATTAGACTGAACAAAACTCTAGAACAGGGGCAGGCAAACTTTTTGGCCTGAGGACCTCATCGGGTTTCGTAAACTGTATGGAGGGCCAGTTAGGGGAGGGGGTCGTGCCCCCCCCCCCAGGGACTCCTGCCCCATCCAACCCCCCCTGTTCCGACAGCTCCTCTGGAACCCCTGCCCCATCCACACACCCCTGCTCCCTGTCCCCTGACCGCCCCTGAACCCCCGCCGCCCCATCCAACCCCTCCTCTCATTCCTGACTGCCCCCCCAGACCCTGCCCCCATTCAACCCCCCTGTTCCCCACCCCGACCCCATCCACACCCCCGCCCCCTGACCACCACCCCGAACTCCCCTGCCCTCTATCCAACTCCTCGCCCCCTTACCACGCTGCCTAAAGCAGCGGTGGCTGGTGGTGCTACAGCCGCACCGCCTGGCTGGAGCCAGCCACACCACTGCGCAGCACAGAGCTATGGGCAAACTATGGCCCTTGGGCCACATCCGGGCAGGACGGTCCTGCGGGCCGGATGTGGCCCGCGGGCCATAGTTTGCCCACCTCTGCTCTAGAAAGTGGTAATGGTGCACTGGGAAGAGATGGACAAGATTATCTTTTTGATCTCTCTCTTCAGTGTCATGTTAAGGACTTCCACCAACCTCATTGGTAGGCATGAATTGGAGGTCTGTCCTCACAGACTGCTAAAGACATGTTTGAGTCTCTTCAGTAGCTACCTAAAGAACAACAGAGGAGATTCTGCACATTTCACAATTATACTAAACTAGATTTAATTTCTGTCTGGATTTTCAGCAGTCTTCCAAGGCTCCGGTGCAAAGAAGTCGTTCTCTGACTGGTCTCTCCTCTCTCTCTTCCAACACCCTTCCAGTGCACATTACAGATGCAACAAGAAAGAGGGAATCTGCTATTAGGTGAGTAGGAAAAAAAAGTACTTGGTTACAGGACCATGCCCCACTAATAATAAAGTAGAGAAGATGACATTTGAAATTGTTTAGCTCTTCCCCATCACACCTGCCTCTCCCACCAGTGCCTACATTGGTTTTTCTGGAAGCAGCTTCTCCCCCATTGAATGACAAGAGGTGCTGACCTCTAAGATACGTTTTTTTCCCTCTGCATGTCAATCTGTCATTTCTTAGATATTCCCATCACTTTAGTATCCAAGTGCCTATTGTCCTCCCTCTCTCATCTTCTTCCTCCATATATTTCCCCCTTGCTAATCCCCTTCCCTTGCTTGTTCCCTTCTCTTGCCATGCTCCACCTCAAGTGTTTTTGGCATTACATGGAAGTAACACATTAATTATCCTTTTAGACAGCTTGTCACATTTCAGCATTAGCAGAGTGAGATTCACAGCCAATACTCCTGTACTCTGAAATGAACTTGCTGCCCCATTACCCATTTTTCTCTGTATAGATACTGCCAGGAAGACAAAAAGAGCAGGGAGAATGAAGGAATTCATTGGATGGAGATACAGAGAAAGAAATGTCAGGCTATGCATAAATCTATGAGCAGTCGAGCAAAAGCAATGGATCCCCATAAAAGCTTGGAGGAGACGCACAAGGAGAAGCTGAAACAGAACTGGTCAGTATCCCAGGCCACATTGATAGATAGCTCTTTGCAGCAGTAGCTTGTTTTTAACAACAAAAGATAATTGCTTTGGAAGGGGATTGACCCTGGGCACCTGTGACCCAAAATCTACCTTCCTCTGGCAGTCATGCCCATTTCACTGTCATTTTTATTTTTATTTTTATTTTTATTTTGCATTTCAACTTAGCTCTTTCCAAACAGATAGAAAAAAACACAAGGATCACATTTTCTGTGAGTGCCTCCACCACTGCAACCTCAATATTTGTGTTTGTATTAACTGTTTCACTGCTCATCTTCAAGTGAAACCTTACCTAGTACTGTGTACACTGCAGCAGCATGAATGCATTTTGTCGGATGCACACAGTATGTGAAGCAGAAGCAAAGCAATTAAGAGCATGTCCTGGAGGTATTTGAGATGAGGGTTTAGAAGGTCATTCCAACTGATCAGAAACCAAAAAGTCAGTCAGAGGGCACCACGATTAGTCAGGGAACTTTTCCATTTCAGGCAGAATGACCGCAAAAGAACAAAGGAGTACAAAAAAGAACTGGAAGAAATGCAGATACGAGTCAAGAACCGACCATACCTCTTCGAACAGGTCACAAAGGTAACCATTCAAAGCTCCAGTACCAGTATGGAGCACAAGATATTTTGTCAGCTAATTGTAGAGATGAGTAAGGAAGCTGGGTGGAATTCAGCCAGGAATAAGAAGGTGCAAAAGCTATGTAGTCTCTGGAAAGGGACAGACATGGAGCAGCTTCCCATTTAATGTTTGGGAAACTCCCTCCCTCCCTCAGGAAAAAACCACTCCACTGTGCTCAGCTTTTCTGTGAAGCTTTACAGCTACTTATTAATTTATAATGCAGTAACACCCCAAGGCCCTAATCAGGATTAGGGCATCGTTCTGACAGGCACTATATGAACTCAGGTTTCAGAGTAGCAGCCGTGTTAGTCTGTATCCGCAAAAAGAACAGGAGTACTTGTGGCACCTTAGAGACTAACAAATTTATTAGCGCATAAGATTTCGTGGACTACAGCCCACTTCTTCGGATGCATACA